AGTTAGAAATCATTTAGTTGTAAATTATATAATCCCCAACTAAAAACAGCCTAAAAACAGCCTAAACACTAAGTGTTATTATCTCACATAAGAAATCCTAAAATAAGGGCGCCTGGGGTGACTCAGTGTTTTGAGCCTCTGCCTTCGGCTCAGGTCATGGTCTCAGAGTCCTGGGATCGAGCCCCGCATGGGGCTCTCTGCTCAGCAGGGAGCCTGCTTGCCCCCGTCTCTCTGCCTGCCTCTCTCCTTACTTTTGATCTCTCTCTCTCTGTCAAATAAATAAATAAAATCTAAAAAAAAAAAAAAAAAATCCTAAAATAGAGGAGTTCTAGAGTTGGTTAATTTTGTAATCCAGGATATCGCCAGGATCCAGTAATTTTCCATCTTTCTGCTTCTTGTTTTCAGAACACTCCTACATAATTAGGAGATGGCTACAGCATTTCTAATTTAATAACTTTCTGAATTATTCTTTTGGCTATAAACTACCATACGTCCATTACATATTTTATCAGTTGTAGATGGTAGAGTCCAATTAATAAAACAATTTAAAAAGTTATTAAATTAGACCCCAGGAAAAGTTATTAATTCAGGAAACCCCAATATATCATAAAGATATGCTAGTCTTCCAAGAACTCAAAGTATTCATATTCTTAATGGTTGTACCACAGCAGCAGAAAGGAAAATAATGTCTGCAGGTGATTAAATGTACAACCAAAATTCAAGCATTTGATAATAGCAGAATCCATTTATAGGTATATAAACCAACACCAGGAAAACAACTCTACAGAGATGACAACAGAAAAAAAAAAAAAAAGATGTAATTAGTGAAACACAAATAGTTACGTAGTGCCACAATAAAGATGATTCCACAAACCAAAAAGAATGGAATTTTGGAATGAATGGATGACTCAGTTGGTACAGCATGTGACTCTTGATCTTAGGGTCCTGAGTTCAAACTCCATGTAGGGCACAGAGCTTATTTTGAAGAAGGTGGAGGAGGGGGTAAATGGGGAATCGAATTTGTTCAATAAAACCTGATATTTAGGTCCAGAAAATTAGAGTGCCTAAAAATAGGTTGGGTGTAGCTGGTTTTCCTGGAGGAAAATGTGGTCAGTTAAAAATGGGGAGAGGAATGATCTTACTTTATTAGAAAATCAGAAATGGAAGATGTTCATTCTTGGACATTTCTTTTAAAAAACACTCAGAAAATGACTTTAGCTATATGAACAAAGTATGTGGTATGAGACAAAATAATTTGCTCCAAAGTAAAGGTCTTTTGTTTTTCCTTTGTGTCCATCATACTAAGACTATTATGGAACCATTCCCATTTTTATACATTAAAAATGTTAGACTTCAAAAAACAGTGGCTTTCCAAAAGGGTCTGGAACCTTGATTACATGCTTGATGCAGTTCACAGATGGTTGTTAACACAGGTGGAACTTACGAATTTCCTCAAAATATTATGAGACTCTAAATAATATTCTATAAAAACACCCTCTAGGATGTGAAACTCTTAAGTCATTTTTTGAGAAGGTTAAGTATGTGACACTAAATCAAAACAATACGCCTTTCCGCTCGTATTTCTTGCTTCTGAGAGTGGCTTCAAGAAACCTCGGAAATGAGGTCTCCATAATATCAGCTTCAAAGGTGTGCCTGACAAAACCTTAAGCTCAGTAACTTACTAGATAATCATTCATTCAGTAAGCAATCATTTATCACCTCCTGTATTGGTGCTAGGCACTGTAGCAAATGCTATTAAGTAGAGGGATGAATGAGGAAGGAAGAGAGATGTAAAAATGAACAAGCAGGATCTCTATCTTCACATACTCCCTTCTTATGGTAGAGTACAAGGCAGATCTTTATCTAAGTGTTACTTATATATTTATTAAAATGGAAAAATGAAAAAAAAAACAGAAATAAGAACATACATGAATCGATTATAGTGTATATCTACAAGGAAATGATACATAAAATAATTCAAATAAAATTTATAATGAATTTTAATGAGATGTTATTTCCACTCATACAATGTCAGCCAACTCTATCACTTTTTGTGAGCAACCTAATATCTCTGTAATTCATATTACTCATATGAAAGATGAGGATACATTCTATATGATGGTGGATACCTGCAGTTATACAATTGTCAAGATACATGGGATGCCTGGGTGGCTCAGTTGGTTAAGCAGATGCCTTCGGCTCAGGTCATGATCCCAGGGTCCTGGGATTGAGTCCTGCATCAGGCTCCTTGCTCGGCAGGGAGCCTGCTTCTCTCACTGCCTCTGCCTGCCTCTCTGCCTGCTTGTGTGTACTCTCTCTTGCTGGCAAATAAATAAAATCTTAAAAAAAAAAAAAAGACACATAGAATTTACACCACCAAGAAATATAATGTAAATGATGGGATCTGGGCGATATAATGAGGTATCTATGGAGGTTCATCAATTATAACAAAGGTACCACTCTAGGGAGAGGTGTTAATAGTGCAGGAGGTTGTATGTGTGTTAGGAGGGGGGACTCAAAGGGTATATGGGAACTCTCTGTATTTCTGCTAAATTTTGCTCTAACCTGAAACTGCTCTGAAAAATGAAGTCTATTTAAAGGGAAAAAAAAAAAAAAAGGATAATACTGGATTATAACCTAAAATCTAAAATAAATATTTATGAGTCCATTCTAATATCAATAAATGGCTGAATGAATAAATAAATGGGGGGAGGACGAATATTCCTTACAGAAGAATTCTAAGTAATATACACATAGGCATTCCCTCTGTAATAGGTGAAACTTAACTACCCCTCCCTCAAGTGTAGGATAAACTTAATGATTTATTTCCAAAGAATAAAGTATGGAAAATGACAAGTGCTAACTTTGTGGAGAAGTCTGGCAGGTACCATCTGTTTTTCTTTATTTCTTCTTTTTTTTTTTTTTTAATTATTTATTTATTTAACAGAGAGAGATTACTAGTAGGCAAAGAGGCAGGCAGAGATAGAGTGGGAAGCAGGCTCCCCGCTGAGCAAAGAACTCGATGCAGGGCTCAATCCCAGGACCCTGAGATCATGATCTGAGCCAAGGGCAGAGGCTTAACCCACTGAGCCACCCAGGCACCCAAGGGACCTGGGAAAATGTTAATCAGGATTTCTTAAGTACCCAGAAAAGCAGGCTGGCATGCATAAGGGACCCTTACCCTAATAATAATAATAGGAAATTGAATCCCTAATCCATGGAAGTAAGATGAATGCTGGTTTTACAAATGGCCAACGTTGTAGGAAGAGGATAGGAAATGTTGCCTCTTGTGTCTTTACACAGCATTATGGGAAACTCTCTGTTATCTCCATCCTTTGATAGCAGGTGCCTCAGGTACTGAGACAGGTTTATATATATATATATGTTTTAATTCCATCAGGAATGATTCCTGAATGGATTAGAGTCCAGTGGTAAATTTGGTCATGGAGAATGAGCAGTGACAAAATTAAAAGTTCTCAGGGATTCAATGAGATCACATGCTACATTCTGGTATTTTAATAAAGTCTGGACAATAAACATAAGGTTATTCTGAAAAACTAAACTTAAATATGGTAGTTTTATCATTATCTATGAAAAGACACTAATGAATATTCACCATTTATATTTGTTTTAAAATAAAATTAGAATATTTTACATACAATATTGGAAATGAAATGCTCTGAATCCCAAGCTCACTTTTCTTTGACTCTGTCTAGCCTTAAGGGGTATAACTAGCAAGAGTGGTAGGTTGGATTAAGGCAAAGTTGTTCCCATCATGGATACTGAAATTCACAATATACACATGACTAATGATGGAGTATGAAAAAAAGCATGTGTTTAATATGGAAATTCATAGCATTGCTGTCACTAAAATGAGTATGTTTACTCTCCATGACAGAATGATTCTACGGGTGTGAAGAAGTTTTAAGAGAGATATAGCATCTCATGAACACATTGTAATTTGGGTAATGAGGAACTATTCCTTCTCTCAGATTCTTTGTTCATCAATTTATTAATTTGTTGCTTCATTCATCAAACATTTACCATTAGTTAAAGGTATTATGGTGAACTTTAGAGGAACTAAAATAATGAAGATATGCTCCAGGTCCTCAGGAATTTACTGTTGTGAATTAAACCATCAACCATATGTTCATCTAGTGCTATCACTAAAATGTTTCCAGAAGCATCAGAGACCAATTTTTGCATATAATGGAAAGATGGACTCAACTGATACTCTGTTATCTACCTACTTATAAGAAGCTAACATTAATTGAATATTTCTGAGTGTGCTTTAAATGCATTATCTCATTCAGTCTTCCCTAACAACCCTATAAAGTATTATTTAATACAAAGTATTATTATTGTGTTGTATGAGATAACTTTTTTTTTTTTTTTTTTTTTTTGAGAACAGATTCTTCAAGATGTCAAAGCACTTGCCAAGGATTAAATCACTTAGGAAGTAACAGAGCAGACAACTGAATTCAGGTTTACCTGAATAGAAAATGGTTATGAGTTTTTTTTTTTTTTTTTTTTTTTTTTTTTTTTACCTTTTGGGCTCTCTATTCTAGCCTATTGGTTGGTCTATAGATCTGTTTTTATGCCACTACTATACTGTTCTGATTACTATAGCTTTGCAATATGGTTGAAATCAATAAGTGTGATGCCATCAATTTTGTTCTTTCTCAGAATTGCTTTGGCTATTGGGAATCTTTTGTGGTTCCATACAAATTCTAGGTTTGTTATTTTCCATTTCTGTGAAAAATGTCACTGGTATTTTGACAGATTACATTGAATCTATAGATGGATTTTGATTGAGAGTATGGATATTTTCACAATATTGTGTCTACAGAAAATGATGAACCATTTTAAAGAGTTATCTTATAAATTTATCTCAGTGGTGCAGATTCTGTATGTAAAATCTTCTGAATCAATAGTATTGGCAGATCAAAATAGAAGACTCACAGTGCCTTTCAGCAACTTTACTGAGGTTATTAGTTCTGACAGTCAGTCTCTAGAGTTTTTCATGTATAGGATGTCATCTACAAACAGAGACTTTCTTCTTTCTTTCCCAGGTGCTTTTTATTCCTTTTCTTGCTAATTGCTCTGCCTAGAACAACTAATTCTGAGGGAACCTCTTTGTTTTGTTTCTGATCTTGGTTTTTCATAGTTGAGTATGACATTAGCAGCTACGGACCTGTCAAATGTGGTCTTTATTATGTTGAAATACATTCCCTCTATACTCAGTTTGTGGAGTTTTCTTTTATTTTTATCATAAAGTGATATGGAATTTGCCAAATGCTTTTTCTGCATCTGTTCAGATGATCACATGATTTTTAAATCATTTACTGATTTGTGAGTGTTGAATCATCCTTGCATTTCTGGGATAAATCCCACTTAATCATGGTGTATGATCCTATCAATGCAGGATTGAATTCCATTTGCTAATATTTTGTAGAGGATTTTGCATCTATGTTCATTGAGGATATTGGCCTATAATTTTCTTTTCTTGTAGTGTACTTGTTTGACTTTGGTACCAGGGAAATGCTGACCTAGTCTAGATTTGGAAGTATTCCATCTTCTCTTTTTTTTCTTTGATATAATTGGTAGTAATTCCTCTTTAAATTGTTGACAGAATTCACCAATGATGCCATCTGGTCCTGAACTTTTGTTTGCTGGGAGGGTTTTAATTACTGATTTACTCTCCTTAGTAATGATTGGTCTATTCAGATTTTATATTTCAGCATGATTCAGTCTTGGTACATTGCGTATTTCTAGCAATTTATCTATTTCTTCTAGGTTGTCCAACTTTTTGGTGCCTGATCGTTTGTACCAGTCTGTTATGATCCTTTTTATTTGTGTGGCATCAGTTGTAACACCATTTCTTTCAACTGAAATTTTATTGAGTCCTTTCTCTTTGTTTCTTGGTAAGTCTAACTGAAGTTTTGTCTATTTTATCTTTTCCAAAAAAAAATCAGCTCTTAATTTCTTCTGTCTTTTCTATCATCTTTTCAGTCTCTGTCACATGTATTTGCTTATGATTTTGTTATTTCTTTTTTTCCATTAACGTTGGGTTTAGTTTGATCTTTTGCTAGTTCTTTGCTAGGTATAAATTAGGTTGTTTATTTGAGATCTTTCTTTTTCTTTATGCAGGTGTTTATCACTCTAAACTTCATTTTAATTTTATTTAAAGATTTTATTTGTCAGAAAGAGAGAGAGTGAGTGCACACAGGCAGGGGAAGTGGCAGGCAGAGGAAGAAGCAGGCTCCTCGCTCAGCAAGGAGCTAGATATGGAACTTAATCTCAGAACCCTGGGATCATGACCCGAGCTGAAGGCAGATGCTTAATCAACTGAGTCACCCAGGCATCCCTCTAAATTTCATTTTTAGAACTGCTTTTGCTGTATCCCATAAGTTTTGGTGTATCAGGTTTCCACTTTTATTTGTCTGAAAAGTATATATTTTTTTAAATTTCTATTTTGATTTCTGTTTTGACTCATTGTGAATGAATACATTGTTTAATCTTCATATATTTGTGGATTATCCAGTTTTCTTATGATTCTTTTATTTCATACCATTGAGGTTAGAAAGAATGCTTGTTATTATTTCAATCTTCTTAAATTTATTAAGAGTTGTTTCAGGGGCTAATATATGATCTATTCTGGAGAATATTCCATGCATGCTTGAGAGGTATATGCCATTAGATGGAATAATCTGTAAAATCTGTTAGGTACATCTAATCTAACATATAGTTTGAGTCCAACATATCTTTCCTGTTTGGATGATCGATCCATTGTTGAAAGAGGGCTACTAAAGACCCTTACTACCACAGTATTACATTGTGGTCTATTCTCTCTTCAGATTTGTTAATATTCATCTTATATATTGAGGTACTCCTATTTTGGGTACATATTTATTAATTTTATAATCCCCTGATGGATTGGCCCCTTTGTTATTATATAATGGCTTTTTTGGTCTCTTTTCATAGTCCTTGGTTTAAAGTTTATTTTGTTTGATATAAGTATAGCTATCTCTGCTTTCTTGAGATTTCCATAAGGATAGAATGTCTTTTCCCATCCCTTCACTTTCAGTCTACACGTGTCCTTAAAAGAGGAAATGTGTCTGTTGTGGGCAGCATCTAGTTAGGTCTTGCTTTTATACCCATTTTCCTACTCTGTGTCTTTGAGTGGACAGTTTAGTCTGTTTATATTTAAAGTAAATATTGATAAGTATAGACTTCCCATTGCCATTTCATGAATTGCTTTCTTGTTGTTTTGCCATTTATTCCTTTTTTCCTCTCTTCTGTCTGCAAGGGGTTTGTCAGCAGAGCCACAGTTTCAAATGTAAAGTGCTGGTCAGGCTCTCAGAGTCTAAAGCCAGATGCACATGACTTCAAAACCTGTTGCCAATATGACCTAGTTTTGAGATTTAAGATGGGTTACTAACTTCTATAATGCCTTAGTTCTCTCACTTATAACATCAGAATACTAGCAGTACCACCTCAAAATGTTTTTCTGGATTTTAACTGAGAAAACTAGTGTAAAACCCTCAGCAGTAAGTCAGTAACAGAACAAGGACTCTATAAAATTTAAGTATTGTGATAACATAAGAAGCAGTGCATATTTAAATGTTCATTCCTTTTTGTAGGAATACTTCTAAGGTTCTAAGTAATGTGCATTTTGCGACGGTGATTTGGTGCACAAGATTTAGCATAAAAAACATGGGTTTGTGTTTCAGTACATTTTTAAGTAAAATAGTTCCAGTAATAACTGTTCTATTTATTGTGATAACCTGATAAATAGTAATCTTATGGTAATCACCATAAAGGACTCTGCAAATTAAATTCATCACTATTATTATTATTGAGCAAGTAGAACTTATGCAATAGCCTACAAAGGAGAAAAGTTTGGTTTTTGAGTATACTTGATTTGAAAAACTTCCTAGGTTAGGTAGGTACAGACACTCAGAAAATATTCTTGCTTTCATAAAGAGGAGATCAAAGAGGACTAAACATGTCATAGGAAAGCCTAACACCAGCACTCAAGGAGATTCAAAAAGACTGTCTATAATTTCACAAAATCCTGAATTTCAATGTGTTTCATATAGTGATGAAAAGCAAGGCTGCTATTTTTAATTTTCTTTGAAACATTTAAATCCAACTCAGTGCACTGAGGGTGGATCAAGATGACAATTCTCTAGTCTTTCATCAAATCTAGTGCAGAGAATAATTACTTTCAGCAAATATAAAGATCTTATGTTTCCTGTTGTTTTTGGAAGTCCTTTTGTGGAAATTCTTTTGATGAATGCACGTATTGTTTTCTTATTTCCAAACCCCATATAGAATTCTGTGATGGACACTTCCCCGCAATGATATTTCATTAGAACAAATAAGTCTGAAACTAATAATCTCTAGTTTGTCCTCATAACAACTTTTGAGGAACATAGTATTATTTCCATGTTGCTGGTAAGAAATTGGTTAAAAATTTGCCTTTGTTGCACAGCTGATTAGTAGCAGAGCACAAATTCAGATCCAGGCAGTTTGCCTTTAGAATCTATGCTCTTAAACACTAGGTACACTATATGCTCGATATTGTGCTATAAATTTAGCATTTATACATTTTAGTTTATTAGGGTCATTGTTTTGTATTATTATCTCTGTTTCAAAAGGAATAATCACAGTCTCCAGTTTAATTTTCTCAGTATCTCATATGTGCATTGAATAACTGGCAGAAGCCAGGATTTACAATCGATTTGTTGAATTCCAAATTCTGTGCTCTTAACACATGTTCGTGGAACTGATTATCTAACATTTAGTTGCAGAGTCCAACACAGATTTCCAGGACAGTGATGATAAAGGGAGAGTCCAGCATCTCAGAGCACCCACCTAAGGGAACTTGATAATGCCTAAAAAGGACCATGGGAAAGAAGCATAAGCCTGTAACTGAAAAAGCATTATTAGCTTCTCTCTACATGTACATGATACTGTACAGACAGAATGGATTAGCATTTAACCCTATCTTTTAGAAGCTGGTTTTAATACATTGGAAATAAGTGAATGTTAGGTGATTTTTATCCCTTACTACATTTTACTGACAAATTTACATTTATTGGGATACAAATAAATTGCTAATTTTATTTTGGACTTACTATTAATTTTGATTTATATCATCTGTTGGGGTTGATTCCATGTTAAAACATAGTTAACCCCCTAGGGCCTGCCTGGACCTACTTAGCCATAGTGACTCCATGTTGCCTAGGTAGACATTTTGTTGTTTAATAAATGCCTCAACAGTTATTGATATCAGTTCCAGGTAACTGTTACTAAAACACACACCTAAAACAAGGCCATTTTGTTTATATCAGTTCCAGGTAACTATTACTAAAACACATACCTAGAACAAGGCCATTTTGTTGTTTAATAAACGCCTCAACAGTTACTAGTATTGGTTCCAGGTAACCATTACTAAAACACACAGGTAGGAGACATCCAATCAGCCAAAGCCACATATGTAGATGTCTGCAATTGTGCCCTATAAAAATTAGCCTGTAAGACCAAGGGGCATCGCTCTCTTCAGAGGCGGCCCTGGCCGGTCAGTCTGACTTCTAATGCTTGGCGTAGAATAAGGCTTTGCATAACTTTGTCTCAGTCTCATTCCTTTGATAATGGACCCAACATATGGGGGCTCGCCTGGGATCAAACGAAGAGAACTGAGCCAGCATCAGAATTTCTGGGAAAAGCCTCCGGAGGTAAGAGCTCCATATTCTGTGAGATCTGGTCTGTCTGGTTGTGGAGCTCCAGGGTATGGACCACTGGGGAGAAGCTGGACGCAGCCATGCTCCCCAGGGCTGGAGTGGATATGGGGATGCCCCATCCCTCTTCTGGTAGATTCTCTGGGGGTCTGAGCCCCCCCTAGGCGGTCCTCTGGATCTGTAGGGGGCCGGGAAAATCCCCACCAGCGGGTGAGGGCCGCTGGGTCTGTGTGTCTTTGTCTTGTCTTTTTGCTCTGTTTTGTTACTCGTTTCTAGGGGACCAAGAAAATCCCCACTGGCGAATGTTTGTAGGGGACTGAGAAAATCCCCACCGGCAGCAGGTACTGGGTAAGGGCCACCGGGTCTGTGTTGTCTTTGTCTTTTTGTTGTCTGTTGTGTTTGAAGAAATGGGACAAGCAGAGAGTAAGGGGACTCTGACTTTCATCTCTCCGTTCCTCCTAATAGATGTGGGATTTCTCCCTTGCTCATTTCTTATGTTAATGGCTATAAGTGGAGCCAACTGTGATTGGTCTAACTCGAGACAGAGACTTTAAGTAATATTCCCAAGCAGCTGCCAAAACTCCCTTTGTTTAGGGGAAGTTCCTTGCCTTCCCTGGCCCAACCTGGACAGACTAGCCCCTCCCCCTTGCTGGCGGGGCATTCTGGCAGCACTTTGTTCTGTCTCCTCCTTCTGTTTCTGCACCAGCTTGGGTGCAGCCTGCATAACTGGCTTCTAGACCATCCTCGGTGCTTCCTGCACCATGGCTCCTTCTCTCTTCACTGTCAAGAAACAAAAAGAGCACCCCTGGACTTAACACCCCCCACTCCAGATCTTCCCACCCGTGTCTCAGGTAAACATTAAAAGTGGAGTGGGTCCAGGTGAAATGTAAATCAGAATTTAAACTAAATTAAGTTTGTTGGTTTAATTAAAATAGACATGTCTTTAAAGTTACAGCAGTAAATGTGAAACTTCAATCAAAGTTTACTGAAGGTCAAATAAGCTCATGTTATTTGTTAAAATCTGTTAGCAAAGAAATAACTGAACTAATGATTAATTGTCTGTCTCAAAGCTTTAATAGGTAATTGTTAAAATAGCTTTCAAAGTCTTTAGTAACCTGAAACACTAAAGGTTTACTTGGATGACAAATGGAATTAAATCTGTTGGACATCTAGGTCTCAACCAAATGGGATAAAATACTAAAGCATTAATTACTGGAACCAGGTTTGTGCTTTTAACTTCTTACTGCAAAGAAACTAAAAATATTTAAATCTGTTGGTAAACATGTTTTGTGTTTAACTGATTCATAAATTTGCCATCTACAGAATTCTGTTGTAACTGTTCAAAATTGGTTAATACTCAGCCATCACTAGAGACTAAAGTGTTTCTAAGAATAAAAAATTCTACTAACTGTAACTAAGACTGATGAAAGTAAGAAAAACAACCCTATATGTAAAAAGGAGGAGATACAAAAAAAAAAAAAAAATGGCTTGGGACAAAACCTAAATGCAAAAAAGTTGTAAAAGGTTTGTGAAGAAGAATCTTCAAAAAAGAAATTTTAGGTATGGTCAGGACAGACTAAAATTAAAATGAATTTTAAAATGTAACTCATCAAAATAATAAATCACATGAAATGACTCCATGTATTCTAGACTACCAAAAGAAAAACACTATTAAGGTTTTTATTAAAAGTTTTAATGTTGTCTAAAAAAAACAGAGGAAAGGCAGTTAACTTATAACTGATAGTAAGTTTAGAAAAATTGTACACACACAAAAAAGAGGGCTTAAGAGAGTAAATAGTTTTGTCTTAAAATAAAAATATCTGGTTGCACCAGCACTTAAAAAAATAATAATAAAAACTAAACTTGAGGGTATTTAGTAAGTCATAAAAGGCTTAGGGTAAGTGACCTTTATTTGCCTTGGTTTATAGGTTTGAAAGAAAACAATGAAATATGTTGGAAATTTAACCATATTAGATTAGTTTTGATGGATGTATTCACAAGAAGAAAAAAAAGACTAATAAATCTTTTCCTGTAAAATGTTTCTATTCTCAAAAAAAAAAAAAAAAAAAAAGACTAAAGCCCTGTGTCATGGGAAATCTATATTGGTAATCCACTCAAGTAAATGTTGACTATTATGTAAACTAAAAAAACACTGGTGTAAAAAATCTGCTTTCTCTCTGTTCAAAAAAACAAAGTTTTCTTGCATGCTAATTACTCAAAAAGTACTGCTAAACCAATGATAAACCTTGGGTTACATATGGGTAAATGCTATAACTATTATAGAAATTCTGTGCATTTCCTAAAGTTTTAACCTTTTGATAAAATCAACTTGATATTGTAAATATTAAAATGTTATGTGTCACAGAAGTAACCTGATTTTCTTGCCAATTAAACTGTAAAACCATATCTATTCTGAATTTTTGTCATTTATAATTATTTTAATTCTCTTATAAAATAAATTCTGTCTTAAAGAAAATTCATATGGGAGACTTCCAGGACAAATACAGGTCTTTGATATCTTGAAATCCTGAAACTGAAATGAATAAAAATTTCCAGAACTAACTAAAACTACATTCAAACTAAACCAGAATTAGTAACATGGGACCTCAATCCCCGGCGAATGAAGAACTACTGCCCAAAGGAACCCCCTGACTGGAATCCAAACTCTGATAAAGGTAAGGAGAGTCTATGTTTCTACCACCAGGCTCTGCTGGGAGGCCTCCATGAGACTGCAAGGAGACCCATAAATTTATCTAAAATTAGTGTGGTGACTCAAGATAAGGATGAGTCTCCAGGGGCTTTTCTAGAAAGGCTTATGGAAGCCTATAAAATATATAGCCCAATTGACCTCAAGGCGCCCAAAAATCAGAGGGCAATAAATCTTGCCTTTGCCAGTCAGTCAGTCCCAGATATAAGGAGAAAACTTCAGAAAATTGAAGAATTTGAAGGGAAGAATTTGACTGAGTTAGTGGGAATAGCAGAAAAGGTGTTTAACAACAGAGATACACAAGAAGATGAAAAACAGACTAGAAAAATAGTTAAAGTTTTGGCATTACATGAGACGGGGAGAAAACAAAGGAAAAGAGGTCAATGAAAAGGAAAAAGGCAGGTAAAAAGTGGTCAATGGAAAGAAAAGCCTAAGTATAGAAAAAAACTGATGAGAAGTCTTAGCTTCAGATCAGTGTACTTACTGCAAGGAAGAAGGACACTGGGCCAAGGAGTGCCCCAAAAAGAAGACGGCAATGCTGGCCACCAGAGACTAAAGGGACCATGGTTCAGAGCCCCTCCCCAAACCTCAGGTAAAAATTGAGGTGGAGGAAAAATCAATTGATTTTTTGATGGACTTGGGAGCCCAATTTTCATCATTACTAGAGCCTATGAGAAAACAATCTGAAGTGGAAGTCTGGGTACAGGGGGGAAATGGCACAAAAAGACATAAATAAACAACAGAAAGGACCTTAAATTTGGCCTATGGCTGTTCACATCAGTACTCCCTCCCCTGGGAAGCAAAGGAAGGGATATCCATAGAACACACCTTTGCTTCCCATCAAAAGGCTGAAACTAGGGAGTACCGACCCATTCAGGACTTGCGGGAAGTTAACAAATGGATCGAAGATATCCACCCGATGGTGCCTAACCCCTATACCCTACTCTCCCTCCTGAGCCCCAAGAGAACCATGTATACTGTCTTAGATCTCAAGAATACAAGAGAGTCTCAGCCCCTCTTTGCTTTTGAGTGGTCCAACCCACAGAAAGTGTTCCAAGGCCAGCTCACCTGGACAAGAACAAACGCCTGAGTGACGGGGTATCAGGCCCTCCTCCTCAACGAACTGAAAGTGACTTTCTGGTCCCCGGCGGTGCTAAGTCCAGCCATGTTGCTTCCAGAGGAGCTGACTGACCACAGTACTTGCTAATAGCCACTGAGGACTATAAGTCATGCTTGTGGGGGACAAGCCACTTATGTAGGCTTTGATCTCCAAGAAGGAGTGCGTTCACTGTCTGAGTCCAGGAAACAGGTAACCAACCGATACCCCTGCCCTACCCACATAACTGCGGGGAGGTCCTAACCCAGGTCACAGGAATAAGGCTGGATCTCAGAGACACTCCCCTCCCGGATGTGGAGATGACTTTGTTCATGGACGGGGGTAGCTACATGGCGGGTGAAAAGAGGTATGCAGGGGCTGCAATGGTTTCTCCTGAGCAGGAACTCTGAAAAGCAGCCCTGCCACACATCTCTAGGAACAACAGGTATGTCTTTGCTACTCTCCATATACATGGGGCTATTTATAAAGAAAGGGGCCTATTAATAGCAGAAAAAAAAAAATTAAAAACAAACAAAAAAATAATACTGGCTCTCCTCCAGACTATTTGGGACCCGAAAGAAGTGGCCACTATGCATTGCCTGGGACACCAAAAGGGGACTGATCTGGTTTCAAAAGAAAACCAATTAGCAGATCAAACAGCAAAGCAAGCAGCCAGAAAAACGACTTAAGAACTGGTTACACTCCCAGCTCCAGCCCCACCAGAAAAACCAGATTATTCAGAGGAAGATTTAAAATATTTACAAAAATGGACTAAATTAGACTATTAAGAGGACTGGGCTAAGACCAGGACAAAAAAGTTAATTCTTCCTCGAAGACTTAAAAAAAAAAAAAAAAAAAATTAGTAAACCAAATACATCAGGGTACTCATTTAGGGACACGGAAACTTAAAAAACTCATGGGCAAGCAATTTCAGGTATCTAAATTAGGGCATATGGCTCAGGATATAGTTAATAGATGTGCTCAATGTCAGGCAGTAAAAGCGGAAAAACTAGGATGGAAAAAGAAAAAGAGAAAGAGGTAAAAAACCAGGAGCTCATTGGGAAGTGGATTTTACAAAAATAAAATAAAATAATATGTTAGTTTTTGTAGATACCTCTTCAGACTGAGTAAAAACTTTTTCTGCCAAGCATGGAACGGCAGAAATAGTAGCCAAAAACTACTAAAAAAATAATTTCTTGGTTTGGGTTGCCTCTCGCGATCGGGTCAGACAATGGCCCAGCATTTGTGAGTTCAGTCTCACGGGCATTGGTCAAGGCCGTGGACACTGATTGAAAACTACACTGTGCCTACTGGCCCCAGAGTTCTGGACAGGTAGAGAGAATGAGCCAGACTCTTAAAGAAACCTTGACAAAGTTAATTCTGAAAACTGGCGGAGGATGGATGGATCTCCTTCCCTTCGCCCTCCTTAGGGCGCAATGTACAGCCTACTTAAACAAGGTTACCCCATTTAAAATAATGTTCGGGAGACCCCCTCCACTCTGCTCATGGTTACAAAAGGTTACCTAACAAAAATGACTGATCAGTCTGTACTCCAGTCACTACCGGCACTACAGAGCCCACGCAGGGATCTGAACTGCCTACACTGAGATGGAAATGGAAGTAAAACCACATCCTTACCAACCCAAAGACTTGGTTTGAATACACCGCCACTGAGTTAAAAACTTGAAGTCTCATTGGAAGGGACTGTTTACTGTCATCCTATAGAGGACCCGAGGGATTCCAACATCTTACTGCAGAAATAAAACAGACAAAACCTGCGGTTCCCATCCTAATTCCAGCACTAACTGATTCTTTAAAAAGTCAAAGAATTGACTACTCTAGAAAGAAAAGGAGGGGATGTTGGGGTCGATTCCATGTTAAAACATGTTAACCTCCTAGGGCCTGCCCGGACCTACTTAGCCATAGTGACTCCATGTTGCCTAGGTAGACATTTTGTTGTTTAATAAATGCCTCAACAGTAATTGATATCAGTTCCAGGTAACTGTTACTAAAACACACACCTAAAAACAAGGCCATTTTGTTTATATCAGTTCCAGGTAACTATTACTAAAACACATACCTAGAACAAGGCCATTTTGTTGTTTAATAAACGCCTCAACAGTTACTAGTATCGGTTCCAGGTAACCGTTACTAAAACACACAGGTAGGAGACATCCAATCAGCCAAAGCCACATATGTAGATGTCTGCAATTGTGCCCTATAAAAATTAGCCTGTAAGACCAAGGGGCGTCGCTCTCTTCAGAGGTGGCCCTGGCTGGTCAGTCTGACTTCTAATGCTTGGCATAGAATAAAGCTTTACATAACTTTCACTTTGTCTTAGCCTCATTTCCCTGGCCGGTCTGTCTAACTTCTAATGCTTGGCATAGAATAAGGCTTTGCGTAACTTTGTCTCAGTCTCGTTCCTTTGATAACGGACCCAACAATCTTTGGCTATATTTACTTTTCTAAATTCATTTTGCTATATTTTCTTTGAAGCAATACCTCATTTTATTGGATCTCATGTTTCCTAACTTCATCTCTCTTGAGATTATTTTTTTTCCCCGGAGGACTGGGGGAAAAAGTAGGGTACCAACAGGTGTGCTACAGAGGGAATTTTGAAACTGGAATTAGCGCAAATGATGGGTGTTCATCTTTTCTGATGGCTAGAAAAGATTCCATTGTATACATGTACAGCATCTTCTTTGTCCATTCATCTGTTGAAGGACATTGGGAAATGGGTTGAGGTGGGGAATGGAGTAACAGGGTGATGGATACTAAAGAGGGCACATGTTGTGATGAGTACTGGGTGTTACATGAAACTCATGAATCATTGAACTCTACACCAAAAACTAATGATGTACTATACAGTGGCTAACTGAACATAATAATAAAAAAAAAAGAAAGAAAGAAATTGGAAAAAGGGTATATGTGACAGGTACAGATAAGGCTTGCCAAGACATTTGTCTAGAGGGACAGGAAACTTCCCCAGAGTCAGAAAGGGCCTAACTTTCACTGATGAACTAAAGGCCATTGGGTAGCATCCCCTTTGAACTGTCCTTCATCTACATCAAAATTTATCCATAACTTCCTTCATCTTAACCAACTTTTCTTCCAAGTTGTTATGTCCCTTCCTGTTCTCCACATTCAACTCTTCACCTAGTGATAATATTCATATCCCCTGGAGTTTCTTCTAGAATTCTGACTACTTAATATAGGTCTCTAAATTTTGTCTTCATTATCTTTATTCCTTCTCCCCTTTCTCTTTTACCAAAAATGTACTCAATCTCCTTCCATTCTGTTAAGGGGCTCCCCCATCCATTTGTCCACTTTCCTCCTCTTCACAACTTATTTAAAAGAACTCATTTTCTCATACTTCCACACAAATTCCTCCAATTTTTTTTATCCTTTGCATTTTTCAAATCCATCCCCTCCTCTCCTTTCCCACCACCATGGTCTCACCATCTCTCCCCAAGAAGATACTTTTAATCTCCTAAAAATTTTGTTTACTTGTATCATCTTGTCCTCCTAATCATTCTCTCTGTATTGCCTCAGGTGTACATTGCTTAATTGCACTTAGGAGATACTGTGTTTTTTACAAACGGAGGTCTGTGGCAACCCCACATCAAGCAGGTCTCTCAGTGCCACTTTTCTGACAGCGTCTTCAAGTCCCTGTGTCACATTTTGGTAATTTTCAAAATATTTAAAAACTTTTCGTAATTATTGTATTTGTAATGGTGATCTGTAGTCAGTGATTATGACTTGCTAAGAGCCCAGATAATGGCTAGCATGAGTTGTTTTTGACGGCTAGCATTTTTTAGTAATATTTTTATGTGGGTGGGGTTATTCAGAATATTTTGAAGTGAATACCTGTCAGAGTTTGCAGTTATTCTGTATTTTTGCTTTCCAAAAAAATGCAAAGACCTTCAAATATTTTAATTCTGACCACCCTCTCACTATTTACAAGCTACTATGACATTGTTTTAGGACAATAATGACCTCTGATTTTTTTATTACATTAAAATCATTACAAGTACAGATTAATAGACTGACAGTGGTTTTAGCTCAGCCTATTGAAGATCTTATTCTACTACTTTCTAGCTTCCATCATTGCTGTTGAAAAGTCAGGTGTTGGCCCAATTGTAATTACATTCTGGGTAATTATTATTCCATTTTTTATAATGTGTCTGCTTGCTTTTGAAGTTTTTTATCTTTTGATTATTTTTTGCAAGACAGTATTTTTTAAATTAAGGTATATACTTTTTAAAGACATAATGTTATTACATATTTAATAGACTACAGTATAGTGTGAATATAAATTTTATATACGCTGGGAAACAAATGCATTTGGCTCACTCTATCACAGTGGTCTGGAACCACACCGAGGTATGTCTGTACTGAAATTATCTTCCTAAAATTGTAATTTTTTCAGGTTTCCCTTGCTTAAAAAAAAACTTTTAGTAGATTGCCAGTGGCTGCAAGATACAAGAATAATGAATGAATAATTCGTGGAGAGGAAAAGAAGCGCTATTGATGTAAAATGATCAAAACAAGTTGACTGAGTTCCTTATATGCTTTTCTACTGCAAGGATAATGGGAAATATCCCTTGCAGATGGAGTTTTTAGGATCAAGAATTATATTGCATCTAAAGAGAAAAGAAAAATTGGACAATAATTTCTTTTTTTTTTTTTTTTAAGATTTTCTTTGTTTATTTGACAGACAGAGATCACAGAGCAGAGAGCCCAATGTGGGGCTCAATCCCAGGACCCTGAGATCATGACCTGAGCCGAAGCCACTGAGCTACCCAGGCGCCCCTGGACAATAATTTCTAATGTCTAAAATAAAATGTCCCTTGCACTGATAATCAATGGAGGGGATAGGACACTGAGGTAAGTCTTACCTATGAATAGCCAAGTGGTAACTAGGAAGGTAATCTAAAATGCCTTTGAAATACTCAGTCTCTGTTATATTGGAGGCACCATGAAACTTACTGCTATTTGGTAGGTGTCTAAAAATGTTCCTGAAAATATAGGAAAGGAAAATGGAACCAGTTTTATGGTTCACCTCCTGTGGGTCCCAACAGCTTGTGTGGCAACACAGGGAGTGATAGGGACCAGGCAGCACAGCTTCCTGAAGCCTCTGCTCACGATATAGTCTCCAGCATGGGGCCCCTGCAGTCCCTGCCACCAGGAAGCACTGGAGGGTGGGCTCTGCCAAAGGGGAAGTGAAGTAGGAGCCCAGGGGGAGATGAGCAGGGAGCTTGTCATCTAAATCTGCTCCTGCAAAAGTGGAAAGGAAGCCAGAAAACGCAGCAGGAAATAATTAATCTTCAGACAAAAGGGGAAAGGGGGGCAAAGGAAAAACAGGAGAAAATGTCTAACCCAGAAACTGAAGATAATTTACCTGCAGAAAATGGAGAAATTACAAACAAGGAAGGTCCAGCCTCTGATGAAGCAGGAGACGAAAAAAAAAAAACCAAAAACCGAGTCTGACTACATCATAACCATGTCTTATGGATGGTGCCTGTCTCTCTTCTTACACAATCCAGAGGAATATTTTTATCAACTATTTTGTAGATGTAAATCTTCTAGTAATTCCAGAAACATTTTTAAGAAGGAGAGAATCCTGCCTCATCCCATTTTTTAAGTCTAAATGGTTATTTTTTTAAGAGGCAAAACCATTTGCTGGTTGTTTATTTTTGATACAATCAGAAAATAGTGGGATATTGAATATGGGAGGTTTTGATTGTCTTGATTATCATTCCACAGATGGGGAAGTAGTTTTATGTCCTTTAATACACAGCACACTGGATGGCAATTTGGAGCCACGGTCCTTTTTATTATGCCTTGAACATTTTAAATTACTTCTCTTCTCATCTTCCTTTTAGTAGAACTGTTTTCTAAGGAAAACCATTCCTTTGACCTTGGCTCTCCCTATCAGAATTTCATGTACTCCATAGCATCTTTGGTCGTGGTAGTTCAGTTTACCTTATAACTTTGATCATGTGCTGAGTATGTGGTATAGATGATATTGTGAGTTAGGGGGATTTATGACACAACAGCTTATCAACATTTGAAAGTATTTGCACTTGATAGCTTCTTAAGAAAACATTTGCCTCCAAATTTAAGCTGGAAAGTCACTGGAATAACTGCTTAGAAAAGAATTACAACCGCATACCTTCTAAATATTTTGGTACACACATTAATCATGTACAAATTGAAACATCTGTGTATTGGTCCTCAAGACAACCATTAAAATCTTAATTATGAAAGAAAATAAAAATAAAATGGAACCTGCTAGCCATTCTTTTGTGACAAAGAAGATTTTCAGTAGTGAGGTTTTCTCTGAATATTAACATGACTTCCTAGACTTACCTAAAATAACATTTCAACCAATAATACTTTGTTCCTATTTTAATTTTAGGATGATTGAATGAATTATGTCTTCCTGTTGTTAACAACTGTCTCTGGAAGAACTTTATAAAGATACTCAACTAGCCAATTTCTTTTTTAAGATTTTATTTATTTATTTGACAGACAGAGATCTCAAGTAGGCAGAGATGCAGACAGAGAGAGAGAGGGGGAAGCAGGCTCCCCGCTGAGCAGAGAGCCTGATGTAGGGCTCAATTCCAGGACCCTGGGATCAT